GATAACGAATCTAGCAATACCGACTTCCTGCCGTCATGGCAATAAAGAAAGAGTGTCCGTAAGGACTAGCCAACAGGTAACTTTCGATACCCGAAGTCACATTCGCGATAAATATTATCATGCTCTTTGGCTGCCCACTTGAGCTTGTGAGTAATCTATGTACACATTTTATTATTGCAGTCATTGCAACTCTCACAGCCAAGTAAGGCATTGTAGCGCACGTGATTTTTACCCTTTATCCTATGGTGATTTACCATAGGATAACACCACGAAGCAGAACCTAAACCCTTTTTGTGGCACGTGACAAGTGCAATGTGTCACATGCCACGTGTCCAAAGGACAGTGGTGTGGAACCCGAGGTTCAGGGCCTTGGGCCACTGAACGAAAGAACAGTGCCAAAATCCAAGCATGGAGCCAAGGAGTGATGGAACTGAACCACGGAGCAACTCCCAAGCATATAGCCCAAGGAGCGAAGGGACAAGAGCCTAGAGCGACTTGGAACAGTCTTGGAGCAACCAACATCCTATTGCTAGGACCAGCACGCAAAACGGAGCTAAACGGAGTCTGGCGCTATTTCGGCATACCGATGGCCTAACGTGAGGACATAGTACTCCACCAGCTAGCATGGAATGGAACTTAGGCTTAGACCCAAGCCGGATGCAAAACAAGGACAAGCACACAAGTGGGAGCTAGACTATGCCTCAGGTTGGTCGGCCATGCCCGACCTACCCACTATCCCTACTATACATTTGGAACCCCCCACAGCCCCCCCCCCCCCCTTGAGGAACACACGCTTTGGGCTTTCACCCCAAGCCTCCCTTAGTATCAGGAGTTAGTTTCTGGGACAAGCTCGAAACTTACTAAATATGGAATGTCCTTAGATTGCGAATTTGAACATGGGACGAACACCATTGTGTTCAGGCCGATCTCTACATTCTATAGATATGCCAAATGAGCAAATCTGAACACTTTCCATAAATAGCATTTGGGACCAAAATGAGACTAACACAAATGGCATGATAGTGAGGGTGTTTGGCAGACATGGTAAGCTATTATCTAGCGATATTGAGGGATCAAGCTCAATATTGCGGGGGTTCCCAACACTAGCAAGTGCAAGTCAACATCATGAGTTTCTCATCACCATGTCAAGTCTGCTTGACAAATGACAACTTAGGATTTCCTTCCTTAGTGCCCTTCTGGTCTAAGTGCACATGTGATGACCAGTTTCTCAACTAGCTCAGGTGGAGATTGATAACGAGCCCAGCAATACCAACCTCTTGCCATCATGGTAGTAAGGTAAGAGTGTCCGTAAGGATTGGTCGACAATTAACTTTTGATACCCAAAGTCACATTCACGACAGGCATTTCCCATTGAGACACAACGCTATATCATCCAAGAGCAAATGACCAAGTTGAGAGAACCAATAAGACACTATGCGACACTATGACCAAGCTTTGCAATACAAGTGCCAGCGATTGGGATACCAAAATTCTTGATGCACTATGGGCTTACAAGGTTGCCTACAAGGCAACTATACGGTTCTCACCATTCCAATTGGTTCATGGCTAGGAGGTGATTTTTTCGAGTTGGAAATTCCTTCTTTGCGGATAGTGGTAGCTCACAATTATGACTGGGATGGAGCTATTCAGCAGTGGTTGGAGCAATTGGAGAAGCTGGATGAGACTTGCTGTGAGACACAAAATCCCTAGGCCCCAAAGTGGAGTCGGAAAGGGTGCCACGTGGTAGTGGCTGAAGCGAGAGCCAAACAAGCGTAACACGTTTGGACCAAAAGCTCCGACTTGAAAAGTCAAGAGCGGGAGTGGAACTCCCAAAGAAGTGCTCAAGGAACGAGCACGAAGCGAGCAAAAGGACCAACACATGACACGTGGGAGTCCGAGATGGAGTCCGAAGTGGAGTCCGAGATGGACTCGAGTTGGAGTCCGAAGTGGAGTCCGAGATGGACCCGAGATGGAGTCCGAGATGGAGTCCGAGGTGGACCCGAGATGGACCCAAAATGGAGTCCGAGATGGAGTCCGAGATGGACCCGAGATGGAGTCCGAGATGGAGTCCGAGATGGAGTCCGAGATGGAGTCTGAAGTCGAGACCGAGACCGGGACTGAGACTGAGACCGAGACCGAGACCGAGATCGGGACCGAGACCGAGACCGAGGCCGAGACCGAGCCCGAGCCCGAGTCCGAGTCCGAATCCGAGTCCGAGTCCGAGTCCGAGTCCGGAGCCTGAGAGGGTGAAAGCCCAAAGCGTTCGTCTCCCAGACCCTGGGGGGTTTGGTGAGCTCCAAAAGTATAGTAAGGGGGAGGACTGCAGTGGAGCCAGTTTGGCCAGGAAAGGCCAGTTTGGCCCAGGAAGGCCAGACCCAGTGTTGGGTGATGAACTGACCACTGGGAAGTCCAAGACTAGAGTGAATACGGACCGACAAGTGGGGTAGCTTGGTGAAGTGTTCAAGAGCCGGCTCTAGTTCCCCCGGGAGATCGACTGGCCGATGCTCCCAGTCCAAGTGTGGGTGGCACTACCTACTTGGATACCAGGCGTGGCTCAACGGAACCTCACTCTAAGCCCATGGCTAGAGCACCTAAAGGCGAAAGGCGGGGAGAGTACCCAGGTGGCTCGCGTAAGGCCACGGTGTTCCGAAATGTTGTCCCAAAGGCCTAGACTGTGGAAAGGAAGAGGAGCAGTCCTCTGGGGTAGTGACCAAGGACACAGTCGTGTGGTGAGGAAGTCCCAGAGGACCATGGGACTTAGTGGTCGGGCCTGTGGGCCTCGATCCAGTGGCAGTGTTGGCAAACACGGCCAGGGGCAGAAAGGGACTTGGTAGGAACTGACAAAGGGACTTTGGGGAAGGCGATTCCCCCGGTCTGTGGGCATCCTAAGGATGCTAAGGAGTGGATCCAGGATGACCACTCGTGGACAGATGGCCCAGTCTTGGAGAGCCAAGACTGTGATGCAAGTGGTATTGGACTACCAGTGTGGCAAAGGTGATTGGGCATGGCCTTAGTGTAACGGGCGGCTATGTCGGTGGTACCTTTGAGTGTCGGTCATGGGATCGGACACGTGGAGCACTTGGACCAAGTGCAAATGTTGAGTGGCATGGATGCCATTCTCGGGGCTAGCAAGTCCCAAGTCCTAGATTGGACTTATGGAGGTTGTGAATGAGACTCCTCCAAGTGGTCAGAGGTGTGGTTAAGTGACTAAAGTAGAATGGAAAAATTAGTCGCTAACACTTGCCTCCTTGCTTTCCAAGCTTGTGAAGCTCTTCAACATCAACGCAAAAAGTGGTATGATCATCATTTATGGGCTAAGAGTTTTCAGGTAAGAGATCTTGTGTTGCTATATGAGGGCAAGTATTGGAAGTGTCTAGGCAAACTTAAGATCCTCTAGATTGGGCTTTATCATGTGAAGGCTGTGAATATCAATGGCTCAGTCAAGCTAGAGGATTTTGTTGGTAATCCTTTGCTCACACCTGTGAACAAAGCTCAACTACAGCACTACCAAGTTCCATCTGGAGAGGAGTGCAATGGGGACGGAGCATAATTATCACTAGGGTGATATTGAGGGCTAGAGCCAGCTCAAGAATAAGACTTGGTCGAAGTCAAGAGTTTTTTCCTTCTTTTTTTGGTTATAGTGGGGGAATAAGGGAATATTCAGCTAGAAATAGAGTGAATCCCTTGGTGCCAGAGGTTGATGACAAGGGGATGGCCAATTTCTAGAGATAGCATGCATGTAGAAGGAAGGGAGTGAAATAAAAGAAAAGGTTCTTGGAAGGATGTTTCGTCCAATAGCCTTGGAATGTGTGGAGTGGAGGTTGGCAATGCAACAGTGACTACAATTGTTTGGGGAGCACATTATAGTGAGAATCACTCAAGATCAACCAATCTATGTGAGTTGTCCGACTTGTGAGCAGTGTAAGTAACAAAAGCGAACGACTTAAAAGACGATCCATAAAGGTTCAAATATAGAAGGAAAGGGCCTATGAACAAGAGTGCACCTCATTTTCCAATTGGTTAAGGGTCTTGGGATACTTGGGATTAAGTGTCCTTAGGTTTGAATAATACTGGGTTTAGTGACCTCTCAAGAAGTCCAAATCCAAGAGCTTATATTTGGTATTAAAAGGGTCTCGAGTTCAACTCTATTGATTAGCTTAAAAGAATCACCTCACATGTTGATTGACATCTAGTAGGTCTAATTTGCTCCTAGCTAAGCTCGACCCAAGAGGTAGGGCCTCAAGAGAGTGAGGCTCTCAGGGAAGTTATGGCTCTTATTTTTCGTTCACGAGGGCGTGAACTTGCAAGGAAGCATAGTGGATTATAAGCAACTAAAGGGAACGACTCGAGAGACGATCCATAAGGGTTCAAATATAGAGGGAAAGAAAAATGCACCCCTTTTCCAATTAGTTAAATGTTTTAAAATACGTAAGGTTAAATTTCCTTGGGTTTGAATAGTACTGTGTTGGGTGAACTTGAGAAGTTCAAATCTACAAGCAACCCTAGGTTATGATGTTGGTAAAAGTTCTAGCAAAGGTTACATTAGGATGTTGGTAGAAGTTCTAGCAAAGGTTACAAATAGCCCTAGGTTAGGATGTTGTCAGAGGTTCTAGCAAAGGTCACTAACGAGGCCAAGGATGAAGCTAGGCAATAGTGATTCTCCACGTCGCTGATGTGTTGTTGCAAAAAGAAACATTTAACAAGCAGATTTTTTAAAAATTATGTACATGTAGTGATTAAAACAATTACAAAAAGATCAAGAACAACTAACACCACTTATATATCCATTAATGCCTCCTTCTAATGTTTTTTTAGATCTTAATTTGTAAACCAAAAAACCTTAATTGCCTTCCTTCATAGAGGAGGTCTAGTGTACAACACAAACTATTGTTATTATCAAAAGTTACGAAACAAATATTTTAATTTAAATAAGCAAACAATGCTTTTTACCATAATATAATTTGTGTTGGTCAAGAAGAAAATAAGTAGCTAGGGCATCCATGGCGTGGGCGCACGAGGCCATGAGCCTGGAGGAGCTGATCCAGGTAGCGTCCGCGTTTCTCGATATTCTGGTGCTCGCGTCAGGCTACCAGTCTTCCGGTGCGCCCGTTTTTTGGCATCCTCTGGGCGTGGGCAGGGCAATGCGATGGGCGGCGCTCCTAGAGCGAGCAATGCGGGGGTTTCCAGCCACTGACCAGGGGCGCTCGTCCATGGAGATTCTCGACATGGCGCTGCTGGATCTCATGGACGCCACGCCCCATCCGCCGGGCCTGCCTCAGCTCTCATGCGGGCTACTCTCCACTGCGAGAAACGTCCTTGTAAGTTTCTTGATCCAGGCCTTTGGGATTGGCAACGGGCAGCTCGTCTCGCTCGTGGTGGCGGCCCCCGACACCGATCTCGCGGAGTTTCTCCGGGAGAGAAAGGGAGGATCCTCGGCCAGGAAGCGATCCTTCGATGAGTTTCAGGTTCCCGAGGCGATCACTCTGGAGGTATTGTCGAGAGAGAGAGCAAAGTCGGGCTTGGATCGACTGGGTGAAGGGCTCGAGCGCGTCGAAGAGGAGATAAGTTCAAGCAGGTTGGTGAAAACGCGAGCTATTCCCATTTGGAAGGAAGATGGAACTAGTGATCACCCAGACACCAGTAGAGGAAGCTCTTGCCTTTGCGAGAGATGGTGCCAGGAAGCCATCTCCTACTGGACGTCGGCCAAGACGATCTACAAACTCACGGGAGCCATGACGATCTTCGACGCTGAGATGGAGCTGTGGATCCCGGTTTTGGATTCTTTGCACAGAAAGCCAGTGACTTCCGCGACGCAGGGTGACGAAGTTGTGGAGGTTGCCGAGCTCTGCTTGCTCTATCTTGCCTCTACTGCATGGAAGCTCGTTCTCCGCAAGCTCCTGGCTTCGCTCGTCCCTTCTTCTTCGCAAGCTTCTGAAGGAGGAGCGGTGAGCTTTCGAGAGATTCCACAGCAAAAGCGGGAAGAAGTGGAAAACTATTTCCTTGGATTGCTGCAAGCCAGGCGAGCAATCTGGTGGAAAGTCCCGGCCATCCTCGCGGCGGCGGCAGTGGCGATCAAGAACTCGGGCTTGTCCAGGAGCTACGTCGAGTCCATTGCGATTCACGTCCACTCCAAGGAGAGCTCCGGAATTTGCTTCTGCCATGCTTGCTGCTCAAGGCAGCAGTGCGAGCGATGCCAGGATCTAGTCCACGAGCGAACCTGGTGCGTTTTGCTGCTCAACCAGATGGAAGGGGAATTCCTCCAGCAGCTCAAGAGGCTCTACTTGAGAACTTGCGACTACGAAAACATTCGTCCTGGAGGTACCATAGTTTGGTCCGAGCATTCTTTCTTTCGAGTTTAAGCGGCAAGCCACACGATCGAGCACATACAGTAAGTGTTTGTTTTTCAATCGCTAGAGCTCATGAAGTTCTTAGAACTGCAGGTAACACTCGCCGATCTAAATACCAAGCCAGGATCGAGCAAAGTTCGGAAGAAAACGCCTCAAAATACATTTGAGATTTGCAGCCACTGCGTTTTGACATTTCCGTTTTCTCCAGCTCGGGAAAAATGTTCATACTGAGTGTTCCAAGTGATCTTCGCCCCTGGAGTCGAAAATTGCCAGGAAATCCTTGTCGAAATCGACAACCTTTCAATACCTTCGTAGGATAAAACTTGCACAAGCTCGGCGTCGCCAAATCCAACCAGCTTCAAGTTTGTTCTCCCGTCATCCACTCCGACGATCTTGCATTGACTTGCTGGGATTCCCCGCGGAGTGCAGAGGCAACACTTCGGTGTCGCTCAGATCTTCAAGCTTGAATCCCTCGGTCGTCACCGCCTGGCCAACGATCTTGTCAGCGTTCTCGAGCTTGCACCCCCATAGTCGAACTTGTTCTCATGGACTCCAGGATTTGCTCTAGAGATCTGGACGAAGCACCATGCATTGACTCAAACCGGCGTCCATGACGAGAAACAACCTTAGCTCTGGAGCTTGGTCGGGGAGATGCTCAAACCAGGAATCCATTCCTGAATCCCGCAATTGAAGAGAAATTCCGTTTCCTCGATTCGGGTGGCATTTCGAGGCTCTCACGCGATCCCGTGCTCGTCATCTTGGTCGATTTCCACACTTGGTGCTGGACAGGCTCGTCAACTACAAGGAGCTCACCGGAGCTCGGTATGGAGTGGTGGCCAATCTCGCTTCCTCCTGGCTGTGCAAGAGGGCCGCTCCAGCTTTCCTCCTCCTCTCGCGGTCCCTGGACAATCCCCTCCTGGCGTTTGGCTTTGCGATCGACCGGGCTCGCAGTGATCGTAGCAATCGAGCAAGCTCTTTTTCTCCTTGACGGCCTGTGGAACCTTGGGGAACCTCGTCTGCATGCGGCCTTGAGGTTGACGTGAGGGAACTGCTCTCTAAAAAAGCAGATAATTATGTTTAAAATATTATTATTTTAATTAACTATACAATTGAAGTTGAAAGAAGGTTCTTTGTCATTCTTTCTCAAGCTACTTGGCCCGTGAATCTCCTAGTGCAGTTCCATTGGAAAGACATACTTAAACAAGCCAACAAACCGTTGGAACGGATTAGAACGATTGCAGATTTTTTGCTATATAAGTTTGCTCAGATACGATTTAGAGTGGTATCGTGGCCCGTTTACGTTAAACCTGAGAAAAAAATCCTCCGCTATTAGAGATCGTAGAGGAGCATCAATCAAGGCCTACTTGGTCTCATTGTTTATGAAGATTAGCTTGTTCGATACATACTCCACCATTTTTCGACTTCCTCAGCACAAGTGCAAGTAATCTGAAAGAAAGAACTCATTTGAGCTCTCACAAGACGTGGAAAAAAGCCTTGGAGATGGGTTTAGTGTTGTTGAAATATAATTAATCATTGAGATTGTCACACACAAACTTAGCATATTACCAACATTGAAATCACAGCAATCAATAAATTCTATCAAGAGAATCTCTAAATTGTTTAAAAGAGTTCTAAATAATTTTCTGGTTTTTTACTAGTAGCACCATTCATGTTTAGTATTATTTATTAGTCCAATTGATCAATATGTGATTTAATTAAAAAATTTAAAATTGTTTCTAGAAGAGTATGACTAGAGCTTTATATCAAATTTTTCTTCTAGAAAAAAATTACTTAAGAAAATGCAGGAAGTACATTATGAAGTATAATATAATGTCACTAGTAATAATTAAAAAAATGGCCATTTGTGGCTTGCTTTTATGCGCAGAAATTCCCACTCGTTTATTATTTGTGTGACTAGCAAACTAAAAATAAACTAAAACGATATAAAATATAGCTCTTGAAAGCTTATTTTACGGGACAGCAAGATATAAACATAAGGACAAGTATTTGATAATTTAAATACGTAGAAAAAACCGGGCCTTCATGACCATTCCATTCTATTTGTAAATATTTTATTTGAAATGATCCACCATTTTCAACAGTAATTAAATAATCGGATAAGGAATTTCCTTATATGGAATATTTAAAGTGCACAAAGGAACATTTACGAATTGCTTATAGCCATACTCGAGGTAATTAATAGTGTGGGCAAGCAAGGACATCAGCCAAGGAAAGATAGTCCTTGAGGCGGGAGCTGGTGACTAAGCAGCGGGAGACTTCTTTTAAAAGCAGCTTTCTTCTCCTAGCATTCCACTGGGCAATTTCTAGTAATATTGAGTGCCATTGCAATCTCCAACAAAATTTATTTATTTATTATGTAATTTATGATCACAAGTTCTTTAGTTGCCGGTGAAACCACGACTCTGGAATGGCACGCATGAAACAAGAGGAGCATCCATCGCTGTAGCCAGTCCATCGATTCCACCTGCAATTCCATCCGATAAGTCCTTGAAAGCTTTGTGTCCGAGCTTCATCACGTCCTCCACTAGCATGAGCACCAATTCCTTGGTGACATGCTCCATCGCAAAGACGTGTGAATAGAGGCGTTGCACACCATTGACAACTAGCGTCTCGTTGGAGAGGCTGTACTTGAGCACCAGGTCATGGTTGAGCTGCCGGAAACGAACAGTGAGCGAGAGTGGAGATCGTGCAACCCAGAGATCGAGCTTGAGTTTCTTCCCCAGCTCCGTCATGGTTTTGTAGATGAATCGTGCCATCCCCTGGCACTTCACGGCCTTGTCAATCTGCTGCTTGAGTGTATGCTTGGAGATGTAGCTCCAGTAGAAGACCGCCGAAAGGCCATTCCTGGAGCCAGCAAAGGTGGTGTCTGGAGTGAGTGTAGATCGGATTGCTCGGTGGGTTGATTTGGTACCTGGAAGAGCCACAACTTTCGTCAACGTTTTTCATCAGGTGGCGTAAGAACATCACCTTCTCTTGGACATGAAAAGTCCGCATGGAATTGGCGCACCCATCCACTTGTGCCCGCTCATTGAGATGGAATGCACAGCGTCCAGGCTGAAATCAAACTCGGGCGCGACTTCCACAGCGTCACCATCCTCAAACTTGCAGCCCTCTTCCGCGGCCAGCTTCAGATATGGAATGTAAGCAGCACCGAGTGCGCCATCGACGTGGACCCAAAATCCCGTCCGTACACTCTCCTTGCCGCCGGCGTCGATGACCCGCTTGTCGTGGCCGTAGAACTGGAAGATGGGCATGAGCGCGGCCATGGCCTTAACGACGCTATCATAGGCCCCCTTGAAGGTGGTGCCATAGTTGAGGTTAACGAAGATGGGGTGGCCCCTCCGTGCAAAGAAGAGCACTAGCTCCGCGAGAGACTGGGTGTGGATGGTTCCATCCTCGAGGCCCTCCTCGTACGAGGGGACCTCGTCCGGCCACTTCCCATCTTGGGCGATCGGGCACATCCCGGGGTACTTCTCCTCGCCCACCACTCCGAAAGTGGGGATGCCGATGAGCCGGGTCGCCTTTGCGAACGAGTAGTGCGTGTCCTCCGAATAGAACGCAACCGGCGAGAAGTAGTTCTCACAAAACTCGTCGGAGCATTCTGGGAATGGAGCTGCGCTCCTTGCCTGGCTTGGGGCGGGCTTGGCATTTGGAGGCACGGCTGCTTGGCGATAGACAAGCCGCGGAGCCGCCGCCTTCTTTGTGTCTCCGCCGGATTCCATGAGGAGGATTTTGCCACCGAGGTAGTCTCGGGCATTCCACAGTGCGTACATGTTGCCTTCGGTGGATCCCATGGTGAGGAGGAATCCCCAGTAGCTGTTCCCTTCCTCGTCACCCAGGAGGGCCGATTTATGAGGCCAGTTCGCGTTCCACAGCGACGCGTAGTAGTCGAGCACGGCGCGCTCCATGAACTTGGTGTTGGTGGTGCAAGTACCCTCCACAAATGGGTCCCCAATGTTGTTCACCTGGGATCATAGTAACCACAGATAACAATGACCATGATTATCTACTTACATGCACGTTGAGGAAGTCATTCAGTTCGTCGAAGCTCATCTTCTGGTTGGCCTGGAAGCCCATGAAGTGGGACTGCTGCTGCTTGAGATAGTCGAGCGACTTGTTAAGGGCCTCCTTGCGGGCTTGCAGACGGTTGGACGGATGCTCTTGGAGCTTGCTGTCCCTCAAGCTCGACGCAAGATCAAAGTTGACACCCTCGAGAGCTTTGGGAAGTGGAGGATAGACATAATCGTCAGTGGTGGGAGGGGAAACGCGCTGCGCGGGAGATAGATCACTCATGGAACTCGCCATATTGATGGAAGGATTGATCAAGAACCCGATGCTAAGAGAGAAAAAGGACTAGTGTGTGCTGAGCAATGGAAACTGTTTATATGCAAGATCAACCACGAGAAAAGCGTGGAGCAAAGTTCTAGCTTGAAGGGTCAAGTGTCCCTTTCAAGAAATCAGATAAGTAAAGGATTGGGACCATAAAATTCATTCTTTGATGCCAGCGATGGAAGAATACAAAATCGTAAGGTGTCACCGTATATATTCAAATTGGTATTTTATGATGGTGCAAGGATTACTACAAAGTTGCATTGAAAAATAGCGTTGCACAGAAAATGCAATCTTATTATAATGTTGCAAAATATTGTTTATGTTATAGAGGAGGAATCCCCAGTAGCTGTTCCCTTCCTCGTCACCCAGGAGGTCCCATTTGTGAGTTCGTGTTCCACAACGGTGCGTAGTCTCCACAAATGCATAGTGACCACAGCCAATCAATATCCAGCCAATCATACGATATACTTCCATGCACGTCGAGGAAGTCCTGCAATTCGTCAAAGGTCATCTTCTGGTTGGCCATGAAGTGGGACTGCTGCTGCTTGAGATAGGATCATGCAACTCGCCATGTTGATGGATGGATCGAGAGGAGCCGAATGCTAAGAACGGGAAAGAACTTGTGCTGAGCATGGTTATGGAAACTCGGGGACGTTTATATCCAAGAGTAGTACAGTACGGGACCAAGCACAAAATAAAAGCTTTGTTTTCAAATGTCTTGCTCAACCCACATGTATAATTGTAACCGTATAGAATGGCAAGTTCACTGCGGCATTTTCATCTATGTAATGGAATAGATGGAATAGAGAGGTACGGTCATTTTCTTACCTCTCTATCACAGCGTGCTTTTGTTTTGGCGATGCAGGAGATTTGAGAAACGCTTGGCATTCAGCTTTATCTTTTATGGCTTTCAGAATCTGTGTCATTTCAAGTAATGAGAAGCTTTTGTAGTATTACTGACTTCAGTCCTACACAAGGAACTATACATGGTTAAGGATATACACGTAACCATTATTAAACCTGGGAGAAAGTGAACAAAATCTGTAGCAAAATGCATCCTAGTGGACATTTTCCCTCCTGCCTCCCCATCCAGTATCCTTCTAAGTGAAGCAAGCGCACATCAGCAGAGGTTAGATTTCGGACCGATGACAATAGCAACCAATCGGCTTATCTACAAATTAAAAGCTAAAAATGTTGAAAGTTCCATCATGTTGGCCGGTACTCATACGGCTACATACTCCCAGCAAGCTCACAATGAGACATTCTTTATTTAAAATCCTTTCCTAACTCGTCCAAGAAGTGGAGATGGCGCGGTGGGAACCCTTTTCCTCCACGTCCTAGCGACAGTGTCCACGTCTCTCTGAGGGAATCGCGTTGCTACG